AATATAATTACTAATCAAAATTGCAGACTGAAGACGTCTTGAAAATTTTGCAATTTTCACTTTTTATGGTCTTAATTTTTTGGTGGTGAGCTTTCATGCTGTCTTGGCGGGCCAGATGAAAAGCCTCTGCGGGACAGATCTGGCCCGCGGGCCGTATCTTGGGCACCCCTGAGTTAGATTCTGGTTGGTCGACAGTTTCCGTTTTCAAATGCGAGTGGATCAGAAAGAGTTGCACCGTTATTGAACGGAAGGATTGATGTGGAATCGTAAGCAATCGTTCGGCGTCGATTTGGTATTTCTTTTAATTGAAGACAAGTGTGCCGATAACTGATGCATACTGTATTTAAAGTTATCTGGTACCTCGAGTTGAAATTATGAATAACCTGACGAATATGAACTCCTCTATTTGGGTTACTTCCCTATAATTTTTTCGTTGCTGATTTTTTAAAATACTGTACGATGAGTGTACACTACTCGTGATTTTTCTCTTAATTCGTTCATTATGTTGAGCTCCGCAAAATTAATTGAACTCCAGTTTTTAAATTAATTTCCGTGTACAGTACTTCGATATACGGTACAATTGTCAATACCGCACTGTACTTGAGATTGAATGGAAACAAAGCAGTCTGTAATTTTACGTCCCGACGCATAATTTCCCTCTCGACGGATTGTATATTGAGCGGCAATTCACGTCAAAATCTGATCCTTCGTTTATCAAGGGTCATTGGTGAATCTTCGAAAGTTTTTATCAGTGAAAGACTTTTTAATTATTGATCTTACTGTTGGAGGCTCATGGCTGTTCGAATCCTAAGCTTACTGTACAGTACTGTACTCGAATATCTTGCAAGGCATCCTTCATCCTCTGAAGTCATAGAAAATTCGGGCGAAAATCGTTACAACCTTGATACAGACGCAGAAATGACTTTCCAAAAATTTCATGGGTATCAAATGACGGATTTAGGCTTTCAAAAATATTGAAAAAGTCCGCTATTTTTAACTTCGTTCGTGTTAGAGGGATTCCTATCTAAATCATACCATCTAGAGCGGTAAAATTCTTCTTGGTTTAATGTAGCCGGATTACTTTCACTGAATAGTATTTTCAAAATTATTTGGACGCGTGAAAAGTCAGCCGTTTTATTGTTACGTTATTTTTTCATTTCGAGCTATAAATTCGAATCTCCTTGATTCATTCTCTATCGCGAAAAATATTAACGCATTATTCCCCGCCCGGAAGTCGTCGAAACGTGACGAATGCTTTTGCGTAGGTGAACATGCGCCGTATTTCGGTAACGGCACCGTGAGCTAAGGAGAAAAAAAAATGAACGAAAAGAGATACGATCCTGTGGCATCGGAAAGGTGGGACGCACGCAGACACCTGCGTGGCCTCTTAAATTCATTTCTTTTTCTCCGTCTTCCATTCCGACTCAAAAAACTCCTTCGAGATCCATCTTTTCATTCGTGGTTGCTCTATATGTTCCATCTTTCTTTTCCTTTTTCTGCGAGAAAGGATATCCAGTACCGGAAGTGGGTTTCTGGTTTGTGGTCCTTTTGAGCTGATGCTTTCTCGAGTACTGAGCTCGGGTGTGCGTAACTTTTCTCCTGCATTCACTTCCGCCACTCCTCGCGTTCCGTGTTAATGAATCGTTGCAGCACTCGTGTCGTGTGCGTGTGTTCAGGTATTCGAAGGAAATTTGTAACGATTTTCTAGTTGCCATTATCCTCTAAAATCACGGTTTTGTTTTGGAAGTACTGTATTTGTTTGATAAATGAATTCATGAGTTCTGTTTTTGCGGTTTCAGCATAGGGTCTAGTCATCTAGTGTGATGCACAAGCTATTTTGCTTGAGGCTCGATGCGATATTTTCAGATGACCAGGAAAACTTTGACTTGTTGGAAAATTTCTGCGTTCTGACGCGAGATCGCGTGTTTGCTAGAGATTGTCCGCGAAGTTCTGTTTTGTTCCTTAAAATTCATTTCCATCTGTCGACAAGTTTCTAAGTGAGAATCCGTCTGACCACGAATTGACAAGACATTCAGCGGGTCCATTTTCATTTGCTATAGATTTTATTGAATTTCAGCCCTGATTTAAGCAATGTCATGCTCATGAATTCTCCTTTTTGAAAACAACCTAATTATTCAGTACGCTGAGATACAAGTTGCTGAAGTTAGACCACCGTTTTCATCAGAACATGAGTTCAAGATTGTGGACATTTCTATCGTGCTCATTTTTTAATCATTCCAAGTAATGTGAAGCTTTAGAGTTTAGACAGTCGGAAAATTTATTTAACGCGCAAGTATTGAAGGTAAGCACTTTTTCTCCCGCTTTTAGCATGCCCTTAGTATTCTTATACTTACGTGACATCGTATAAGAATTTGCAGAACTTGAGTTAACTGATCTTACTTTGCAATTATAATTTAAAACATCATTGAATCAGTCCAAATAGCGTCACACTAGGCGATTACAAATCAAGAATTACCCTGCGTGTTCCACCAAAATAAAACAGCGAAGTCGGGATTGTTCCTTATTTTTTGTGTATATTTTGTGTTTCCGAGTCAAATAATTTTCTTCGAGTTTTTCTTTGATCAAAGATAAATTTTTTCCATCCATGTTACTGTGCGCTTCGAGAAGATTGCTGTGACAAACAAATTTCGGGATTCGCTTGGCGTTTGAGAATATTTCGCCAAACCTTGATTGAATGTTCGTTGAGCTAATGCGTGACGTCGTTGATTTGATTTGCAGGTGAGAACAACCCGTTTCAGTACTTGGAATACAGAAGTCTGAACATAGATGAGCAAGTGGTGTCGCGTATTATGTGGCTCATCGATGACCCGAAACACTTCCATAAAGGTCAGTGCACTTCCGGCTAAGACTCCACATCGTCACGGAGCGTGCGTCAGAATGAATGACGGCTTACTTTTTTTTCTCCTCCTCTTTCTATTTATCTCTCCTTCCTTTTTTTTTCTGCTTCTGCTTCGATGCATGGAAATGAAAGCAGATGTTACAGAAGTGTGCTTCAAGTACTTCCACGGTGAAGACGGAATAGTGACGGCGACATCCCCGGTGGTTCAGGTTCACAATCCGTTTGCGAGTGTTGCTTCGTCGGCGTCGCCGAAGTCGCGGGACTCGCCGCCGATCGTGGGCAGCGGAGACGCTTCTGAGGCGCCGAGCGTCGACACGGCGTCGCAATCCGGATCCGGACGACAGTCGGTGGAGAACGGGCTGGATTCGCTGTCGGACTCGGACTGCGTCGTGCCTGTCATCGTTGGCTCGACAGCTGCGTCAAAGGGACCCGCGGGACGCATGAAGGATGGCGACTTCGCGTGGATAACCATCACGGGTAGGTGAAACCCTTTCTCGCTCGACACGCGTTATTCTTGACGCAATTGCTTCGTGCTCGCATCCTTTTTATTTTATTTTGTTTCGTTTATTTTCTTGTGATTCCTTGTTTGTCTGATTGGATTCATTCTTGGACAGTAAGTGATATGGTGCGATGGACGTATGGTGCAGAGAACGATTCATGCGATGAAGGCGCGTTCTCCTCCAAAAGCTAACTCTCACAACAAACAGCGTCTCATTCAGCGAATTCTGTGTTCGTGTTGAAAATTTATCCAGAGTTTAACAGGTCCTATTAGAAAACCGTCAGAACTAGCAAGAGTTACCAACGGGAAACAGTTACCATTTTTTGGACCGCTAATACGTATTCATGTTAACCGCAGTTAACCACTTATTTCATGGTTTTTTGCAGCGTTTTTCAGGGAAATCTCTAATTTTTGAAGATTTTTTTTTTTTTTTTTTTGCTCCTGATTCTTTTCAAGTTCGTTGAAGACTTTCGTGTAGTGGTCGCTTTAGGAATTCACTGTAGGTGAAACTTGGGGTTTTTTTTAGGTAAGTCGAGTCCTACTGAACTGATGTGGAACTATAAATCGAAAGTCTTTTCATGCTATATTTTTACGTGTTATCCATTTCTCATATTTCAGTTGTGAAGAATTCATGTTTTCCCGTACGTTTCTAAGAGGAAACCTGTCCCATTCCACGAATATTTAGATTTTTAAATGAATATTGTTAAAAAATATTGTCACTCTTCCGTCTTCGTTGTACAGTAGTTTACTGCTCTTCGATGATGGGGAATTTGATAAAGTGCGACGGTTGATTCGCAATTTCAAACCGACCTCATATGTCGAAATGTTAGCACCCTCTTTTTTTCGTTCTCAGTGTCATATTCGATTTTAAAAGTTTCAGTGCTCCTAACCTGAGATTAAACCAAAGTCGGTAATCATTCGGCGGCGTTGGAATATCAGAAAAGCATTTTAGCTGGGGAATAATGTGTATAGAAGTAAATGCTAAATTACTTTACGGTGGATCCGTTTTGTGATATTGAAGACTAACGCTGAGTGGAACCGAGAAGAGGCAATTTATAACCTTAGTTGATTTTAGTTTACCACTTCACGCTTAATTTATATACTGTACTACTGTATATAGACAGCCTATGTACTATTTTCATAGCCAATTCTGTATTATAAAATAAAATGCGGTCCATGTTCGATTGGTTGCGATCATTGGAGTTGATCTCATGCACACTTGGACAAGGTTTCCTATCAGTTTTGTCGAAATGTAACGAGATTTTGTTTTCCTCATCGCTAATATGTTAGTGAAGACTAATGCTCAACCGAGCGCAGATAGTGCAGTTGATCTCATTTGCGACGAAATATCGTGTTCAATCGAGTTTCTTACGACACCGTAGTAAAAGAAGAAGAGGAAACTTCGTCTGTCCATGTCGCGAATGATTAGTGATACTGAAGACTAATGCTAAGTCGAAGTCGAGCGGAGATCCGATCCGCGTTAAACTATCGCGACCTGTTTATCTTGGAAATACGTCGGGAGGGAATGAATGACTTGATGAATGGATCAGAATAATGTACTTGCTGGGGAGCGCCGGAAATGCGCAAGATCGCGGAAATGTGTGAATGGAAACTGGGGCATCACTTCGACGAAGAGTCTGGACGCATGCCGAGCCCGAATAACTTGAGCCTCTCGTCTCTCTTTCCCCGCTTTTTCGTGGCTTTGATGATAGGCTTCGTGCCCCCGTCCCTATCCGAAGAGAGAGATGAATGAATTTTTCACAATGCAGTTGAGGTCGTGGGCTGAATATTTGTCTGAACTATTTCCATCAAGTTTCTTCTCCAATGCTTTTTTCCCCTTCTTCTGTGCACGATGAAATCCTTTCGCAACTCGTAAGATTCAGCGGAAGCGTCGTTGACCTTTCGAAGCAACTTGCATATTGAGTCGCGGAAGCTGTGAAAACCCAAACGGATCCTACCCGGTTCAACGTTTACGTGATTTTCTGAATGTAGAAAATACGAGGGCTATTCAAATTTCAGCGTTTGCACATTTTTGAAGTTTTAGCAGCATCTAGTAGATTGGAAATGCGATATTGTTCCTCAATTCCACTCACTTTGGAAACTTAGCTTAGCGTACCCAACTCGAGCTTGTAAGGGAAATTTGGTGTGAAAAAATAACTAAGCAGTTCGGATTAAAGCAGTTTAAAGATGGAGCCTGTTGAGTTATTTCGCTGCGAAACGTGGCAGTGCTGATTTCATTGTTTCCAACTTGAAAATTTGCTGTCACCGATCACCTCTGTGATCTGTTCGAAATCAACTGCTGGTGATGAGATTTTTTAAAATACGGGTGGCAATGGGTGATCATGTTGGATTTATGCCGCAAAAATTGTAGAGTCTTTGCGTGCACGAAAAATATCCTCAGGTTTGTTTATTGCGAGAGAAATCAGCGGAGCATTTTACAGGAAACATCAGGATATCTACTATAATAAACTGGAAAATTGGCCAGGTCCGATTCTTCTAAAATCCACTTGAATGTAGACAGTGCTGAAAATGGAACAACCCTCGTATTTGTCTGGGCAATGTTCTATCCATAATCTCGAGTTGATGGTACGGAAAATGATAATAAATCATGTCAGTTAATCCGCATGTCCGTTGATTTCGTGCTCGCGGAACGAGCAGTGAGGTTAATTTGAGGCGACCGGGCGGAGCCGGATCTGTGGAGAGGATTGAAGCAGAGGCGTTGGCTCTCTGTGGAAACCTTGGGTTCAAGAAGTTCCTCAATCATCTCTGGTTTTTTCTTCTCTTTTTTGAAAGAACTGCAAGCCGGTGGTCTGCGCAAGGGCGTGCTGTTTAGTCCGTACCCGTACGTGAAGTTCAGCGTGAAATCGAAGCCAGAAGACGGACCCTCGACGCTGCCGCATCACGGGCAAGCAAAGCGGTCGTCCGTGATTAATAACACTACAAATCCGGATTGGACTGGCCAGGTACACACGTTTGACCTACTTGGTGAATTCGCTGTATAATTCATGGGTGAATTGCAATTTTCCACCCCGCAGGAATTCACATTTTTGATGGGATCCGCGGACGTGCTTGAAGTTGAAGTCAAGGATAAGACGACGAAGCCGAAAACTCTCCTAAATCGTATATTGGGGAAAACCACGATTCCTGTGCGATCGATTCATGAAAAGGCTTCCAAGTAAGTTACCTCGTTATTCCCGTGTGCGATTCCAAAAAGAAATTATCTGAATGTGAAGTGCTTCAGAAAATTTTAAAAACTGTTTTGAAAGTCCTCAGCTTGTGCTCTAAACGCATTAGCTGCCATGATAGTCTGGCTCAGAAATTTTGTTCTATAAGTCATTTATAATTGACAAATTAAACCAGTTTTTTCCAGGCCCGGTTCCGAATAAAAACTCAAACCTTGAAAATTTTTTTACTTTTCCAACCGTTAAGAAATAGCCAGCTATTCTTCAGTCTACTCGAATATTTGTTGCAAGGATATGCGATGGAAAAACGAAGAAATAATGTTTGGATTACCAGTTAGAATTGATTCAGCTTGGAAAAGCGTCTTTCATTCCCTAGTCTCAAAGGGATGTAGTGCTGTATTTGGGAATAGTGATTCACCGAAGCTAAATTCGCGTATTTGAGAAAAAACTTTAAAATGTTTGGCCGTGAAGTCAGAGTTCTCAAAAGAGGCCTGCAGTTGGACAACTTTCGTTGGGCAATGGTTAACCAATTTGAATTTTTTCTTCCATTTTCTTTTCTATATGCGATCTGTGACCTTGTGGGCCTCTCGTTGCATTTAATTTGTGGGTTCTGGCAGAATACTGAATGACTCCTCCATCTTCTACAGCAACAAGCCAACGGAGTTCGAGTTTCCGCTCACTTCATCGTCATCAAGCGACAACGTCACCGGGAAACTGCGTTTCATGGTTCAAGTTACTAAGAGTCTTTCAGGCTGGTCCAACGCCAGCTGTCCGTCGTCGTCTTCGTTATCAGAGCTAAGCGCTGCACGATTTTCGTCTGGCTCTTCTGAATCTTCCGCTTGTGGCTCAAACCCTACGTCTCCCGGCGGCTTAATTCTAACCCCAGCTTTGCTCCAGACTCAAGTTTCTACCGTGGAATCGGATGAAACACGATTGAGGAATCGTGCGGATTCCAATGAAGATCCTCTTGGTGCACCACCGGCTCCTGAACGACCTAGTTCTGCATCAAAATTACAGTCAGCCAATCTAGTCAGTCCTGTGGGCAGTCCAATCTTATTCAGGTAAGAATTTTCAGCATCACAAGGAAGAAAAAACGAATGTTGTATTCAAGCGACTTCGAGACGCATTCCTTTCTAATTTTTGAAGCCAAAAAAACGCAGTGCACGTCTGCGAATCGCTATTTCTTCGGTTTAAAAAAAAGTGCACTTTTGTCAAACGTACTTCCACCACTTAGTCTAAATTTCGAATATGATCTTTAGTTCATAAAGTGAACTGACTATGCGAAGTGTACCTGTGAGAAAGCGACTGAAAATTTATCGTTTTTTCGTCCTTTTAAGAAGCAAGGTTAAGTTGGAAGACTGGAAAATTACGACGTGGAATCGATGGCTTACTATACTACTAGATGTATAAAATAACGGTATATAGAGCTTCTCTGGGTTGAAATACAATAAGGTACAAGGCGGAAACAAAGGAGGGCTAAAATTTCGATCCGTATATGCTGAAGCATGAAATTTTCGATGGAATATAAAAATAATCCTGAAAACTTCAAGAATTTATCGTTTCTAGAATTAATTTTTCAGTTTACTATTTTGGAATTTTGATGAACTACACGTCTCATTCCTGACTACTGTAATTTCCTTGCTTGACCAATTCAGTAATAAATCACATAGTTTAACTGGCGAATGTTTTTTGGGATTTTCAGACGCCAGACGAGTTGGAGGGAGAAATCCAATAGTGCTGGACAGAACGACGCCATCTCCGTCTCTCGCAACAAGGACGACCTGAGCGTTCTTCGTTTGGGAACCTCGCCTGTCGTTGGGTGTGATCTTATCTCCAGTGACGTACCTCAGTCCGAAGCCAGTCCGCCGAAGCTATTGGAACCCCGTGATGCAGCAGCACCGATGGAAACCCCGGGCATTCGTCTTCGTCCGGTGCGCGGCGAAGGTGCATCGCCGGCCAAGCATCGGCCGGAGTCCGACTACATGCCGCTCTGGGAAAATTCCAGCGGACAGGCATGCCTCGTGCCCCAAAAGTTGGAAGCCATGAATGTCGTTCGAGAAGAGAGTGGGTGTGACGAGGATTCGCCGCCTCCGTTGCCGCCACGATCCGCGAAGCCGCCGCCGGTGACCAGTGGCGGCCAGTCCCAAACGCGAGTGCACAAACCTCTGGAGCGGTTGATGGCTGTGCCGTTTTCTTCAGGACCTGGCTCAACTCCGACGAAGAAAACCAACCGACCGCCTCCGCCGATTCCGAATGTTTTCCCTTCTACGAACAAAGCAAGTATTATTTTCTTACTGCCGAGGAACAAAAACAATTTTCGGTTGATAGAACAAATAATACGGTATTTCGAAAAATTTTCGTTGAATTTTTGCTGAGTGCCCTGATGGTGTCTGATTTCTGCGCGAAGATGAAAAAGAAACGTATGTAAAAAATCAGACGTCGTTCTTATTTTAGGATGTCTGTGAAGTACAGTACTGTATTCTCACGCCCTAAAATTGTTCTTTTTGTCTCGTTTACGCAGGTTGGTCTAAAACCAAAGCTTCCAACACCGACCAATACAGACGCACCTGAAAGTTTCCCGGATCCACCGGGAGTTGCGCCGCCTTTGCCAAAGAAATCCGCGCATGTCCGAAATGCCATTCTGCCTGCTCCATCGGTGTCCTCTTCCGAAGAATGTCAACATCTGGAAGATCTTTTTGCTTTCCGTATCATTGATTCTGATGAGGGATCAACTGGAACGATTGGACCGCCGGCTTATGAAAATCAAGTCCAGGGAAATTCGCCAGTGATGGAAACGTTGTTGCCGGGTACCGTGGGTGCTCCACTGGCGTCTCCCGAGTCCGATTCCAGTGGTACCGTGGAATCGATGCTCAAAGACTTCGAAACATTTCTCCACGCAAGAATCAGTGATGTGGGGCAGCATCCAAGATCGAGGAACTCGTGCGACAGTGGCAATGCTTCGAGTGATAATCTTTGTAGCTCCTTACCGCCGAGAAATGCGCAGTCGTCCAATGCTAATGCTCCAATCTCCGTCACACCCGAATGTTCTCGCACACCAAGTCCGCATTCCGATCGGCTTTTTTCGTCTGCAACTCCAGCTTCGAATACAGTGAGTAATTTTTGTGAAACAGAATTTTCAGCTCTGATTCCTCTGGTTCGTTCCGATGCATCGCACAAACTTAAGTTATAGGATGTTGGACAGATGTCGTCTAAATCCCAAACGTGGCCAAAATTGATCTTAGTCTGCTTAACCTGAAGTAAACAAGCCTGCCAAACCTCATAAATCATTGAAATATAAGGTGGGGCTTGTTCAGTGGCAAGTAGAGCTAGTGCAATTAAACCTCGATAACTCGAACCTCCCTATGTTGAATTTTTTTTCAAGTCCCATAAAAACAATTTATTAGGAAACCCCCTGATTCGAAGACTTCCCTAACGAACATCAGGACTCGAATTTTTTGTGAGGTTTTTAGCTATTATTTTATTGATCCAGGAAAGAGAAAGCAATAAAAAATGTAACTTGATTTGTTTTGAAAGGAAGTGAGAGACTAACTGGGCAAATGAACCCTTGCCTCGAAGTCCAGCCTCCTGTAAACTCATTTAAGAAGCAATTTAAGGCCCAGAATATCACTGAATACAATTTTCTATAAATATTTTTCTTTCCCTGAAAGAAAGGGCTAATTTTCCCGATTCATAAGTTTGGAAACATCCCAAGCCCGAATTTGTTTGCCGGTCCCTTGAAATTCGACGTAGAGAGGTTTGTCCGTAGCAGTTTTAATGAGAAAAAATTTATACTGTATATTATCAAATCCGCATAGATTTATCTAATTCATTTCGTTGCAGTTGTGATACATTTTCCTGAATTTCGTCGATTTTCTACGTGTGAGACATTGTTCTCTTATCGAATGTGCACGCAATTCGAAAATCTCCGAGCTCAAGTATTCTTTCAAAACTTGTTGTTTTGTGAGCATCAGGACTTGCGGAGCGCATTCGTTGTTATTCGACTGGTGTTCATGCGAATGTAGTCTCGTTTAGCTTGGAAATGATTTCGCAACATTTTTGAAGGTCCGTGAAAAGAATTTAAAGTGAAGGTTGTAATTTTTCAATTTTTTTTTCAGCTGACGATGCCGGCGAGGAGTAATAACCCGTTGACCCCGTCGCCTACCTCAGAAAGTGGACATTCCGACAGCCAGGAAAGCGGTTTATCTGGATGTCGCACGGATTTTTCCGCCACGAGCGAAAGCAGTGGGGAAGACTTGCTTCCAAAGCCTCTTCCTCCGCCGCCGCCGAACCAAGCGTTGCCGCCCCCGCCTCCTCCGTTAGCTGCCCCGGTTTGTCCTCCTACACCGACGCATCGACCAAAGATTTCTCACGCGAAAGCAGCCCGGAACGTGCACGTTTTCGTTGAGCGCGAAGAAGATATTAGTCCGCCGCCGAGACCGGTTCAACAGCATCCAGCTTTTCCAACAGTTCCGACGACGGCATCGACGACCCGATTGCCTTTGCAGCCGAGGATGAGACTTCCTGAACCCGAAATCAAAGACGAACCTCTACCTGACCGTGAGTTGAAAAAATTACCGCTTGGCTTTTCCGGGTCGAGTTTTCGGAACTCTTTGCATGAACTTGGAGAAAAAATCTGCTGTCTCCATTTATGGGAAACGTTACCCGTTGATTTCGTCCGTCCCTCTTCCGGGCGGATCGTTTAGGATCGTACTTACGTGTATAATTCGAACGACCGGGAAACCGAGTGGAGTGAAATTCTGAGAATTAAGCCTTCATCCTTAAGCGAGCTCCTCGGTGAATCTATTTCAGAGTAAAATCTTTCACTTTTAGAGGTGTAGGCGTGACGATAATGTGGTTTCCTCTCGAGTTTTGGTCAAGCATTTCCGCGTCCTCTTCAATGGACGTAAATAAGATTGAAATACATTATTTTTAAAGTAATTTAAGCTAATTGAAAAAGAAAAAAAACTTTACCGCTAATGTAATCTTGAGTTGATCGACGCCTTGAAGTGACCTCACTTAATTCTCAATGGAATTTTGCGATTTTTAAATTTAAGTTTAATTGTTGATAGGGTTCTCCTGAGATAAGTTTACTGTACTATCAAGTTTTCAGAACGTTATGAATATTGCGCAACTTGCTGCGGAAAAGCTATTATCCGTGCTGGCCGGGTGCTTCCAGGATGCTTAAAAAAATTTATTGTATGAAACAAAAATATTTTTTCAAGAATCTGACGTGATTGGAAACGACGTGAAATCAGCATTCAGGAAATGGTTGTGAGGGCCATAAAAATTCGAATTTTTTGCATGCTGCAAGTATGGTGGGTTGTTAAATGTGTTTCACGGACACGGTTGATCTGAATTTACTTTTAATTTAGACCCGCAGAATCAATCGACGATTGTAGCTCAATTATTGTATAAATCTTTTAAAATTTCCTGCTGACGAACACAAAACTTACAGCACCGCACATTTATACTTTTTTGGATTTGCTCAATTCAAGTTCTTTCAGCGGTTAGGTACAGTACAGTGTTTTCCATTTTTAAATTGACGAGGAAGCCAGATCATGGGATACAGAAAAAATTCTGTGATAGCCTACCTTAACTGGCATTTCGCTCTACTGACGAATTCCATCAGGATCTGTGAATTGCTGGAGTAATATCTGTTAATTTTTACAAATCCAGCTGAAGGGATTGATGTTACACTAAAATTTTGGAGATCAAATCGATTGTGGCGTTCGTGAACTTTCTCGGATTCTGTGGTTGGAAAGAATGAAATGGAAAGTTGAACACGAGTAATATTTTGAAGTAGGACTGCCCTCGTTAGTTCACTGCAATTTTTGCATATGTTGAAATTCCCGCGTCTTGTTTATCTTCGAAACGGCGACGTCTTGAAGTTGTGTTCCATGAGTTTTCTACTGCTTCGCACTTACACGTCAACGTTTGATTTATTGCAAGCTGAGGTTTTTCCCGCTTGGGGATTCGTTTCTTGACTCATTTCTCCTCGGTTTCTTCTATAATGGATTTCCTGGATTAACGTGATGTCGTGGTATTTTCCACGTTGAAATCCGTTGTCGTCCCAGTTTTCCGTCGCAAGATTGAGAAAAAGAGGGCAGGATGTCAAAAGAAACCCGTGGGGTTCGTAACGGGAAGGAAATTCCCCGTCACGGCAAAGTTGTCGTTCAAGTGCGGGTGGACGAGTATGTAACTCTCATCCTTCGCATACGTTTTCAACGCATTGTCGCAGAGGAAAGCGTGTGCAGCGCTGAGTTCATTTCCATGCTAGGCTTCCCGAGAGGGAAAACGTGATTCGCTCTGAAGACCCAGAATCAGAAAGCATCCCGCGAGCGTGAAAAAGAAAGACGCGACTTTCCGCCTGTTCTGTGTGATGTACGAACGGGAAGCTGTTCGTTAATAAATGGCCGTATTCTTTCAGGTTTCAACTGCAGGCTTTTCTTTTTGTCGAATTGAAAAATCGCTGTTGAGGCCGAATCGTTTATCGATCGCACTGTTTTTAGAAATGAGTCGTATGCAATTGCTGTGTACACTATACAGTACAGTATTCCTGTTCTCCGACCAAACCCATACAGGTGGACTCTCCCTACGACGAAAATCAAGGGACCAGAGAAAAAAATCGTTGAAGAGAACCCCTATAACATGGGGACAGAATCCCATTGGACCAAAAGAAAAAAATATCGTTGTACACATAAAATTGTCTTAGAGAGAGAGCACCTGTATTATTCGTTCATAGGCCGCATTTTTCACTCACGAATTGTAATTTTTTTTAGTCTCTGGCATTTTAACGCAAGAAATGACTGCCCAAATTGAGGGTGTGGCCTAGACCCGCTCGCGACCTAGGAGACTTTGTGGAGAGCTGGAAATCAGGTTGAAGCATCTTCCCTTCACGCGCAGAGAGTGGCCCTCTTTTTTATTTTATTTTTTAGAAGGGGCACGCGCTGTATTCTAATGAAACTGATACCGTGCGTGTCTCCGTTTCGTCCACCAACTTTGGGCCTTGGATGTCGTTGTCGTTCCGAAAGGTCGTCCAGTGTGACGCTTGTTCTGAACGAGTGCGGTCACCACGCATTGGTCAGTGGGACGAAGACGAGTTATGATCATCTCGAGTGTATAATTACGACGCTTTTCTGATGAGCCATGATTAAATTGCTTTTTGTTGTTGCTTAAGGTCTGTTATACTTTTTTTTAGGGTTTGAGTTGATTCATGTTACGAGGATTACTTAATCGACATTAACAAAGATAATAGTGTTTCAAGTCGGAAATCTGTTGAGCGTACAAGTTTAAGAGGGCTTCATTTTCTGTGCGTTTGCGTCGGTTTTGATCTTCAGTTGTACTCAGGGGGCACGGAAAATTTGAGACCTATTTTCAAGCGCAGCAATGTTTCAGAAACTACGATGCGGAAATGCTAATCTTGATATACTTCAATGCTATTTTTTCTCTCTGACTTAGTGATCAGATTTTTTATACTTTCCGGCTGGAAAAGGTTCCACTATTGAAAATATAAAATGAATCATCAGTCAAAAAGCTGAATGTGGGGTCAAATAAACGTCTATTCCACGTACAGTACGATGTCTTGAAATGGAATGCAGTAAATGTTTTTCATATTACTGTATGCACTACTTCTGCAGTAGAATTTTCTATGCACAATCTCTTTTTATTTCGTTTTTTTTAAAGCTCTTCACAATCATAAATTACTTGAGTCTGTACTGTACAAAATTTTTTTAAATACCTTACCTGTATTATTGACGTATGCTTTTTTCAGATTGAGCTGATTTCGTTGTGATGAGATTCTGCTGCATTGTGGACATTAGTACTGTTTGAAATTCATGAATTGAAATGTTGCGGAATTGGGGAGCGGTTTAATTTATCACGAAGAGACGAGGAAAAAAAAGAAACGAAGTGGCGTGGATTGGATGGAAGCTACTGTATTTTCGAATATAAATTCGTTCGTATGTCTTCATATTTATCCTCTTCCGTGTAGGCCTTTACTCTTCAGCGTATTTTCAACTTTCGTATTTTATTTTTTTTGTTTTTTATGTTCGAAGATCGTTCTAAAGTTTTCCGAGCTCCCGGAAATGTTTTGCTCTCAGGAAATGCAAAATAGCGTGATTTTGAAATTCAAGGGATGAGATGATTTCGCTCAACTTAGCGTTTTAGTTCACCTCCGCGGAATATTCCGCCGTATTGTATTTCTCCTTTGTTTTCCTGATTATCTTTCTTTTTATGATCGGTGCAGAAATACGTTTCACTCGATATGTATTTCTGCATCGTCATCAGCTGTCTTGGTTTCGTTTATACTTGTCGATTTGAATTTGTTTTCCGGCTCGGTTGAGACACTCGAGCTGGATTAAGGTCTTCCGGCCTGATCGAGATTTGAACCGGTGATGGGGGACGAGTGGCATTGCTTCGGCGCCCTTCCGTTCGTACCGAGCCACCAATTTTTATCTACGTCTTCAAGTTCCGGAAGCGGGATTGAAGTTTGCGCTCGAAAGTCAACGTGGTTCTCGGGGCGTTGAAAAAGTGTATCATTGCTGTCGCTGAAGAACGTTTGCTCAAATGTCTCCCCTCGAAGGTCACGTGCTCAACGGTTTATTCAAATTTCTCTCTTCAATCCACGAGTGTGGGGGGGGGGGGAGAGAGAGAGGTCGTGTAGTTTCCTTGTCTCGTCGGACCTCGAAGTTCGTTTGCCAAGCAATTAATTGCCTGTAGTCGACGATGTTACCCGGAGGCAGAGGAGTGCGTGTAGTGCTCGGCAATGGAAGTCGTGATTTTGGGTGTTTGCTCTTTTGGCTTTGCTTTCGCCCTCGCGCGGATTCGTGTAGCATGCGGACAGGCAGGGCATCCCGTAAGATGAACGCAGTCAACTGGGATATCTGGAACCTGCACGTGTGCTTATCGTTTCGAGTAACGGAGCGGAAATCGGGAGATTTCTCACGCTTTGTTTTCAAAATTCAAGTTCGATAATGAGCGGTCCAAATGTTGATTTGAACTATGTTTGCATGAACGTCTCACATTGCCTTGAAAGGTCTCTCGCTGCAATTATACTCTGGGGACCAGAAAATATGCTATTACAGTATCATGAACAGGCTTTTATTCGGAAGGGCGCAAACCTCGAGAGTTCAGAAGTTTACTTATTACTGTACCGTATTTACACAAGTACCTCGCTCAATTTTTAAAAAATTCGCAAAATAAAACCAGGGTGCGCGTCATTATACAATGTTTAGAAATTTTGGTGCGCGTTATACTCCAAATCAAACAAAAACCAAACGTGCAAAAAATATGCGATCACCATTTAATGAGGCTGAAATTAAAGGTAAAATTCGCTTCTATGGCAATCCACAAAATTTTCGGGATTTGAATATTAGTGACACAGATATTGCAAAGATCAGAACACGGTGACATTATTTCAGTGACCAAACGAATGTCTTGTACATGATCATTTTTCGGTTACCTTTTTTGACCTCACAGGTTCATTTTAGTGGCATGCAAATCCGTAAAAGATGCATATTATCTAGTGACCCTTATTTTATTAAGGAAGGTGTCTCTGTGTTCTCCTCAATTTAATTTGAATAAACAAAGCGTGGAAGAATGGTCAGAATATTTTTTGAAGATTGCTCTGCGAAAATTGCATTATCTGCAACGATTGGACGAGACTGTTCTTTCTTTATAAAACGAACCCCTTTTCTGTTGTGAGTTGTTCAACACATGAAAAAAATTCTTTTTGGGGAATATTGCTGTAAAAATATATACAGTATATAGCTGTAATAAAAATATATATACAGTAGCTGTAATAAAAAAAATATGGACAAACAGTCCAATCGGGCCTCTTTTTCGGAAACATCATGATACGTACTTTTTGTCAAAGACGCTTTGTGCGCTATGCGTATTTAATCATGCTTGAGAAAGTTCTAGTTGATAAAAAAAAATTTCATTCATTCTCAATTTATGAGTTATTACTGTGCAGTATTTTAGTTTGAAGCGTATTTGCAGACGATGGCGTTGCTGCGAAGCGCGGGTTTGAATTTGAGTGTCATTATTGGTTTGTTAACGTGCTCGAATTTTGGGCCAATATTTGTTGAACGTTGGTATATACTGTAGTATATGTACTGTACTTTACACTGATCCGGCGGAAGACCAGAAGCGTATACAGCTTATCTGAGTTTCCGCAGATTTTCGCTCCTGTATTTTTCGTATCTCCGCGATACGTGCGAACGGATGTTAGATCAGGTCGAGTCGGTGTTGCGTTTTGACTGAACAATTGCCTCGCTGGTGCGTCCTGGAGCGTATTTCTGATTAAACCACACCTCGGGGCATTTCTAATCCGTCGAATTACGTGATATTCTCTGGGGTTATTCGACGCATCAATTATTGCTGCGTTGACCGGCGATCGGGGAGTGCCTTGGGTGCTTTCGTGCACGCTTCGGGGTATGGCGGGATGCGGATGCGTAATTATTGTCTCGACGTCTGCAGAGAAAAGTTGTTTGACTTTTTGTTCAAATATTACCGTATTTACGGTACTTTGTTTCTTTCCCTGTTCGAATAGATTTTGAAGCTCGTGTGGACAGTCACGGTCGCGTGTACTACATCGATCATGTGAATCGGACCACTACATGGGTACGTCCCACTTGGAACAATTCACGGAAATCTCGCTTACAGGTCGACGACGAACGGCGACAGTTGGACAGAAGGTTAGTTCTTCGTGTTTGACAAGTTCCTGGACGATTCTAGCGATCGAACGAGTTATCGAATTCCCGATTCTTGATTCGAAAGTTCTCTGTAAAGTTCTGTGAAGTGAATTTGTCGGATCGTCCAAGTTTCGGAGACTCCAAGCGGAATCAATAGCAGGAATTTAAGCTATTTTAATGTGTAAAGAATTTTATTCAATTTCAATGCCTTGCTTATCAATTGACATTTCGAAAATGCAGCCTCACTCGCGCGTAAGTGGCCAAATTAATATTGGAACATTGTTTTTAGATCTGAGGCATGACCATTAGACAAACTCTTTTCATGAGATTTCACTTGCAAGTTGTAACGTAGATTGCCGGCAAGCTAAAAAAAATATATAAGTTTGAGATGGAAACCATATTTTCTCGTAGTGACATGCTTTATTCTTTCCACCTTCAAGTGTATGGTAAACACAGTACAGTACAATAAATTAATAAAAATACAGTGGATCGGAAATGCTTGTGAAGTATCGCTGTGTAAAAGTGTATGTCAATCGCAATCCATCCACAAAGGGTTGGGAAAAAAAATATGGCCCAAAGTTCGCATTCATTCGGGTTGAGCGAAAATATCATATTTTGCGTAATTCGTCGAATGGAAACCGATCACCGTTTTTGCCTTTTTTTCATTATTTTTCAATTTTTATTCGAGTGTCAAAAGCAAGGTTCGAGGGCTTATCGCTTCGTTAAATTTGCCAAATCAGAGACGCGTAAATCACAACGTCTCCGTCAGCAACGAAACGAAAAACAATGTTTACAAAATCGATTCGAATCTCTGCTCCGTAAAAATAAGTTGGGTGTTCGATTGAAGGTACCAGAGCATTCGGAGGACGATGACTTCAAGGATGGATGAAGAGGATTCGTCATCGTCATCCTCGAACAGCGGCGGAATGTTGATTCTTACTTCAAATTTGATTAATACCTCCTCGTCTGATGGCGGTGTCCCCGCTGCATCGATGCAGTCTGGCCGAGGTCAGCGTCGATCGGAGATAGCCATGAGTGCGCTACTTTCATCACCAGGCCTGAGATTTCTTACGCGACCTGATTTCTCATCTGTTCTTCTGGCAAATCCAGTGAGTTTTTGGAATTCGCAATCGCCTAAAAATTCGAGATATTGTGCTGTACTTTTAATTTTTGGACCTTTTAAATCAGCCGAGTATAAATTGTATTTGTATCGTCTTCATGCATTGCTGAAGTTGATAACGTAACTAGAAGTATGGATTGTGGTTCACGCAGTCTTGAGTTCATTTCAGCGCTCTAATTTTCCCTGCTAAATTTTCATGATTTTCATTGCCTTGAAAATCAAAGAATGATATTTCCGGCTTCAACTTTTAGATTCAGGAATCCAACGATGAGGTGTTTTTCATGTACTCTAATACGTAGTTTTTATTAGTTTGAGAAATGTATCTTGACGTTCCAGGATGCTCGAGAAATATACATGTCGAGTGCGTCGTTGAAGCATATGGTTTCCCGAGTGCGACAGGATTCATCATATTTCCAACGCTATCATAACATGCGTGAAATGTTCACGTTCATTAATATGTTCGCTGAAACGTCCAAGGCTCTTCCGGTCGGCTGGGAAGAGAAGATGGATGAAGTGCACAACGTAAGAATGATTCTGGAAAATACTGTTCTTCAGCCGATTTGCGGTTTCTAGACTTCGTTTCTGAAAATCGATGTGTTGATGTTATCTTTTTTTTTTTTTTTTTTTGCAGCAAAGATTTTTTGTGGATCACACCAACAAAACTACAACATTCATTGATCCCAGGCTTCCCCTGGAGGGAATCGACGTTCGACCCGTACTACGGCGAAGAAGCCGCAGTTCAGGAGACGAAGATCGCGTAAGTTGGAACACTCCAAAAGCACGGAAACTAGTATTCCGTTTAAAGAATTCAAAAGTTTCAACGCATTATGTTCAAAAAATATTGTTGAATTCTGTTCATGAACACTTGAGAATGCCGTGTACTGTACTTTCTCGATTGAGTAGATTCTCTGCCTCGAAAAAATAAAATACCATAAGGGTCCATAATCGCAATCGCGTCGCGTATATTTTTGCATCATTTCCGTGTCTTATCTTCCCCGGAAAGAATTGTAGTCAAACTCCTTCCTGGACCCGTGCATTGCAACGAAATTTTTTTTTTTTCAACATTCCCAACAGAACCCTCCAGCGCCTCCCCCACGACCTCCGATGCCGTGTCCGGGTGCAGCTTCTAATGGAAATGCGAGCAATTTGCCGGTGCCCACTGCTTATTCGGATCAAATCGTCGCATTCCTGCGGCAGCCGAATGTGATGGATGTGTTGGCGGCGCGTTATGCCCCGCTCACTGTTCCTCCCCCGAATCCCCTCTGGGACGAAATCATTGAAATCCGTAGCAAAGGACCCGTCGCTCTCGAAAAATACCAAAATGACATAAATCTGAATATCATGCTCAGGTAAGATTTCATAATTATCATGAGTGTCAAATTTGTCCCGAGGCGATTTCAACTTCGAGCAGTCATATGATGAATAGGCGTGTTGACCGGATCCTGTAAATCTTCAAGCTTTTTTTGAGGACGTACTAAATGGCTTACAGTACAGTACTGTATTTGCTGTTCTACACAATTTTTTAATGCGAGATGCTCGATTATCTTGCCTAATAAACTCGTAATTCCGCCGGGAACCTCAAATATCAAGAATATTCAAAATTATTAAATTGGAAGATGTGTACAAATTGATTGAGCTATGTCTTTAGAGGGTAAAATCATTCCTCAAATCTTCGAGTTCCTGAATATTTTATCCCATAATTACGTACATAATTGCGAGTCAATGGTTTGTGGTCCATTGCATTTTGTGATATATTTTTCTGTATGTATGCTATTCATGTTGACTTTCATTGCACATGGATTTCTTGTAAAATTTGTCCGTTCAATGCCAACAAAATGTTTGCATTGGTCGAGTCAAACGTCTATGAATTGTACGAAAAACATCGTTTCACTCGCACTTGCACAGTACATCTTTTAAGTTCACTTCGATACTTGAATTTATCTACAGTTCTACACGAAGCAATTCATTGTGGGTATTGAAGTCCGAAAAATACCGCTAGTTGTTCGATGGTCGAATGAAATGGGAAATTAAGAATTTGGTCCGACAGAATTGAATGTGTTCCGTGCGTCGCTGACGTGTTGTTTGTTCTGTACAGTTTGTTTGAAGAGGAGATCATGTCGTTCATACCCTCACCGTCGTCGTCGGCAGCGCTAACTGTTGGAAGAGCCGGCAGTGATGTCGGTCAGTCGACAACTTCACCGAATGTCAGCAACGTTACGCCAGCATCTGCGCGGGGTTCTGCGACACCTTATAAGCGTCATTTCGAAGCGAAATTGCGAGAATTTCATCGGAAACTGGAGTCGAAAGGATACGGCCAAGGACCGGGGAAGTTGAAGCTACAAGTCCGACGTAACCATTTACTCGAAGATGCATATTCGAAAATTATGACCACTTCGAAGAAGGATCTTCAGAAGAATCGGCTTTGCGTTAACTTCATCGGGGAAGAAGGGTTGGACTACGGAGGACCATCTCGAGAGTTCTTCTTCTTATTATCACGAGAGTTATTCAATCCATATTACGGACTCTTTGAGTACTCTGCGAATGACACTTACACAGTGCAAATATCTCCCCTGTCTGCATTTATCGATGAGCATCGCAATTGGTAAGTTTTGTTGTGCGTTTATCTTTTAACGTTTTTAGTTCGAATGTAAAGCTTTTTTTTTACTCAGGCTTAGTGACTATATCGAAGATGGTTCACTGTTTTTTTTTTTTTTTTGCCTTCGAATGATCTTTTTCAGAATTTAAGGTTTTAATTCAGAATCCTCGAAATCTCCGTGCGACTTGCTTTTCATGAAATTACGAAGACTTTTCCTGATTGCTGCATTGGCTATCTTCATTTCTTCCTTTATAATTGGCTGTCATTATGCCGTACTGTCGTTTTCATATCGGGAACATGATTTCACAGATTTTTGTATCATTCTACTTCCACGATTTTACTTGCAACACCTAGATTCATAAAATTGCAAATGTGGCTGATGAACCTGATTTTATCGTAGTGATACGGTGCCCTCACATTTTCGTTTTTTCTGTTAATTTCAACCGAGTAAGCAACGATTCGAGCTGTGCTTCGGAACTCATTAAATTTTTATCTGTAGAATTTTCATCCATCTTCATTTGTCCAAATTGAGAAATCTCAAGACTGACGAAACTCTTGAACCAACACTTATTTTTCGCCGTGAATTATGCCTTTCATCAATATTCCTCCGTTGATCGATTTTTTTTTCCATCCAGGTATCGATTCTGTGGGCGGGTTTTAGGTCTTGCCCTGATCCATCAATATTTACTCTACGCTTTTTTCACTCGTCCATTTTACAAGCTACTGTTGAGGCTGTGAGTTTCATTCCTCGTAGCTTTTTGGAAATTCGTGAAATTGAAGTAAACTAATCTCAACATTCGCTTTCCGACGATGTGTTCAGCATGAAATTTATGTTTCTCGAATTCTGCAGGAGCATGAATCTGAGCGACTTGGAATCTCTGGACAGCGAATTCCATAAATCTGTCCTTTGGATAGCTGAAAACGACGTGGAAGACATGGACTTCACTTTCTCTGTTTGCGAGGAAGTTTTTCCGGGAAATGTTGTTGAGAAGGAGCTGAAACCGGGTGGGAAGAAGATCGCAGTTACTCCAAAAAACAAGCTTGTACGTGATTATTCTGCCAAATCATATTTCGAATTCTGTTGTGGATTCCAAGTATCCCCTTCCTATTATGCAGGAATACATAGAGAAGCTGGTCAACTGGCGGATCGAACGTGGAACCGTGGAGCAAGCGAAGAATTTGCTGGATGGATTTTACGATGTGATAGAGCCTAGGCTGGTCAGTTGTTTTGACGCCCAGGAGTTGGAGCTAGTCATTGCTGGAACGCTGGAAATCGACTTGCAAGATTGGAGCCGGAATTCTGAATACAGGTACATTTTTGAAATTGTAACCAGATGTAACGACAATAAGCGCTGACCCATACCTCATGCTACCTTTTTTTCAGGTCCGGTTACCACGAAGACCATCAAGTGATAAAATGGTTCTGGGCTGTTGTGGAGAGCTGGGATAACGAGCGCCGGCTACGACTATTGCAGTTTGTTACTGGAACGACCAGCGTTCCCTACGAGGGTTTCTCAGCGTTGCGTGGGTCGACTGGTCCCCGTCGGTTCTGTATCGAAAAATGGGGCAAGCCTATCTCACTTCCCAGGTAATGTTCGTTTCTAGAAACATTTTTTGTAGAACTTTCTGTATTTAAAAAATCGTTTCGTTCATCAAAGAAATACGTTAACAGCATGGAATAAAATCTGGAACGCGCTTTATTGTGAAGGGTTTTCAACCTTTTGATTCTTGAATTTCACTCCGAAAAATACCAATATCTTGGTTCCACCAATGATTTTGAATCAGATTATGGCCGTGGTAGTTCATATATACGATATACAGTATCATAATTTCCATGCAGCACACGCCTGATCTTCAACGTTCTTGTTTTACGGTTTTCGTTTTTCTCAGACGAGGTCAGGTTTCCCCAACTTTTCGCATATATTATTTTCGTGTGCAGTTCCAGCTTGTTTCATGCTAAGTTGCTTTTAAAATTTTTATTTTGTGTACTAGACCTATGATAAATCTGCTTCGATAGTTCTCCTCGATTGAGTCGCTTTTCGAAAGGTTTATTCGGGAAAAATCAAAGTTTGGATCGTTTTTATTCAAGTTTTTTGGATAATTCCAGAGCGCACACTTGTTTTAACCGACTCGATCTGCCGCCATATACCTCTATTGAGATGCTCCGTGAGAAGCTCTTGTTGGCGATAGAAGAAACAAACACGTTGAGCATCGAATGAATGGACAGAAGACAAGACTACTCCCGCCGTTTGCTGGTGATCAGAAGGTGTGAACACGCCAACTTACGTTTCCTATATTGGATTCGGTAAGGCGAGCAGCAAATCTAAAAATTGACGCGTCGTTATGTGCAATTCTAGTCACATTATGGTTTTTTGTTCACGGAGTGAGCGTCCGTTTTGTCCGCTTTCAATGTCCGCGCGCTTTCAGTTGCAATACCGGTATCAGTTGCCTACTGACGTTTTTGCTGCTCTTTTTCTTCGGAATTTTCGAAAATTTAAATCACGATCTGGTATTTGTTCGGGTTCGCGTGAGGTATCTTGGTTAAGTTTGTGTTCTTGTTTTCGGAGAATTCGCGGTTTTCGTAGATTTTTTTTCCAGACGAGTGGAGAAGATGAGCATTTGATGCATGTTTGAATTTTAAGAAGGTTTACTTACTTCGAGGGAAGGCATTCGCTTGATGCTCCCTTAGCCATGTTAGTCATGTGTTCGTGATGCCATGTAAAGGTAACTTCGTGCCGAATTTCTTATGTTTCGCTCAGATCAAATGAAGCTGCATCGTTCGAGGTATCGTTTTAGGTCGTCGTTTGGTTTGATGCATTCCGTTGTCATTGAAAGTCTTGGCGAAAGGCAACGTTGCCTATTTTATTTTCATGCGTGGTGCGAATCGCCTACTGGATCTTCAGACGCATTATTTTCTGCCAGTCGGACGCGATTTTTTTATGTAGTTTCCCAGATTCGTGTCTTCGGTTTCCTACTGGAAGAGATTGATTCAAGGTTTTCTTTTTTATCGCAAGCAAACACGGGTAACTGCGATTCGCTCTCTCTCCAAGTCTGGATTTAATTTTTGTGATTCCCTGATGAGTTAAATGAGATGGCGGTTATGAAACCCGCACGTTATGGGAAAGCCTGATGTATTTTCCTCGCTGGTCGCGGTTTTGAATCTTCTGATGTCCTCGTCGATCGAGTACTTCAAAATGAATTTTTTGCCGTTGCCGTGGTTAATGTATTTATTGGCATGCTTGCTCGCGATAGTTGAGCGGTGATATTTCTTCTAATGTCGTTTGTTGGCCTCCGCATATTGATCGACTTTTTTTTTGCTGACTGTCGGAATGCTCGTGCGGTTTTTTTTTTTTCCTCGTGTTTTGCGGTCGGCTTTTAAATGAATCTTACTCTTTCGGTCGCACCTCGGTCTCTGTGCGCAGTATTAAATTTTACCCGGGAGACTGGTGTTGGATGTTGAACATTTACTGGAACATTGGGGAAAAAAAGGTGTTCAAAGAAAACATCAATTTTTCCACGAACCGTCAACGCATATTTTTTCATTTTTCGCTCGGCGATGAATGCATTTTCAAAATTTTTATGTCACGAAAAATTTTCCTACTCGAGGGAAGAAAGACATGTTACTAATCCCAATTGTTTTCTTCCTCTTCATCGCTTCAATTCTTGAACGACGTACATTCTCGTGAAGTCCGACTGTGTCTCGTTCGCATTCGTTTTGAACGCAAAGCAAATTCATCAAAGGCATCTAATATTGTACCATATTTGCATGGCAAGTCGGTAGCTTTCGTGCTGCATAAGCGTGTGGCTGTTATGCGCGCGACCGTTGTCACATTTGGTGTTAATTGATGGGTCATCGCATAAACATTTATCTCCGTTCTGACAGCATCTTCACCCATGGAGTCAATCGTCACAAAGAATTCTCGTGCGCTTGTTGGATCCGAATGTATTGACCCGTGTTTTGAAACGAACGTAGGATTCGTGCCTTGGATCTCTCTTGGCAAAAATTATATCTAATACTGCAGGTTCCGCGTAAGTGCGAAAAATAATTTGGCTTGGCAGGTGAAGCAGGATGGCGGAAACGAAATCGATTCTTCAGATTTATTTCGCGTTTGCTCTGATGGTCGGGAGCCTTTCTATGTTGATCGACGAACCGGAAGAAGGAGACGATGAACGAGGTACGTGGTACGAACTGTTCGGCAACAAAAATAAATTATAATGATGTGCGTGAATGGTTTCAGGCATACGCACAGTTTCAAAATTTTTATTTTCTTAATTTTTGTACTACATCTTGGGAAATACGAATTCTTGATATGATCATTCAAGAGGTTCGGCTAATTAATTGCTTGTTGAAATTCGTGTGTTGTTTTCAATTCATGGATGATGGAAGGGAAAAGTCATCCAGCGGTAAATCACCCCGTACCGTACTAAACGTGTGACTTCAGAGTTACATTGTTGAGATTTTTCAGTATCTCAGTTCGGATTGCGTCAAAATATACCTAAATCTGTTCCGGTTTTGTTGTTATCGACGGGGTTTTGGTGTTCGGAGGTGGAAATTCACCTCCGAACACCAAATTTGTTTGGTGGATTATTATTCATTACCGAAAAGGGGGATTATTATTCATTTTGAATGCAATTCTTTTTCACTCCATCATTCATTGTACAGTACTTTTTAAATTTTTATCACGGATTTTTATTGAGTTTTGACTGATCGGAAGGGTGCCTTCATCTCCGGTTTCACGGTCCGTTATTTTTCCCTATATGAATGATCCAGTCAAATAAATTTATATTCCTTCGTTTTTTCCTCGCTTCACCCTATGCTGCAACTGGCTTCTCAGGTTGGGAGTCAATTTGATGTAATTTTTTCCCCTGGAAAAATGAATGACAGAGATTTTTGTGACCACTGGAGGAGGCGAAACATGGGCGACGAAGTCGCAGCTCCAAGAGCTCCGCTGTCTTCTTCGGATCGCGTTTCGCGCAGCCGTTGCTGAAACGCGACTCAGTACGAAATTGCGAGTATCCCCCGAACTCGGAGATGAAGATGCTGGGAATTCTAGCGGGAGTCACAACGAAAACGGGTCTCCTTCAATCGATCTCAAGTCCATCTGGACTCCAGCTAATCCCGACATTGTCGCTTCCATGCTCGTTCAACGGATCCTGCGCACAAATTTTAGCGACGTTTTGATCCCCGTTATTATTTCCAACTCGTCGGCCCAGACAGTCCAGTTCAACGGATTCCTCGACGCGTTTCGTCGAATTGCTGCTGCCGAAGTACCTAACGTGGAGATAACTGATCCGATCCAACGACAGTCTTCAGAAATTCGTGAAGCCGTTTCCGAACTCGTGAAGAGACTGCAAGCGTCTCCAGAGCCCGGGAAAAATACTTATGTTCTCATGCTCTCCCACACGAACGACGTGAAGCCGGCGTTTGAGTACGCCAATAATCATTCCGAGGCCTTTAATCGCACAATGTGGCTGCACCCCGACGCTTTTGACTTGTTCCAGTCCATGGAGAAGAACCACGACGAGGAAACCTTGAAGTTCGCGGAGCGGGTTGGATTGACGACGGTCTTAGTCTTCCCGACGCAGAAATTCTCCGACGTGGACTTGCGGAAAGCAAGATTCATGATGCTCTCAAACTCCTGCCCGGTGTACTCCGTACAACGAGCCTTGGCCTTCGTGAAAACACTGAAAACCGTGTTGAAGGAAGACAACGAAGCCCTGCCTTCTACCTGGGAAGCCTGGAGCATGTTCGTTGTAGGCCAAAATCACAGGGAAGCGGTACAAGTCGTGCAGAATTCGCCGTGGGTTGTAGATGAGGCCTTTACCGTGAAGTCCGGGGAGAAAATTCCGAGTACACTGGGTCACATAACCGGTGAAGCGATTCGCAAAGAGTATCTTGTCGGGGTTTATGCTCCGGCTGCGACGCAATGCGACACACTAGGTCCCATCATTCTCAAAACTGTGGATCCGTTCACTCTGGAGCCCGTGCATCGTTTTTATCCGTCCGGAAATGATCTTCCCACGACGCTGATCGTGCCTCAGAATCACGGACTATCGATTGACCTACGTTGCGCGGACGGGGCACAGCGCGGAGCAGAGATTTCCTGCGCCGGGGACGTGGAGAATGCATCTCCGTGCATTCATTCAGCGTTCAAACGACGCTCGAAACGAGGTATTGCGGCTGCTAGACGATTTTTGGCGGTATTGGATGCCCAACGTGCCACGTACCCGGTGCTGAGTCCGGAACGGACTTGGCATCCCAGCGGATTCTTCCAGCGAGGGCTGAACGTGAATGAAAGCGACGGAACGAATAATGACGCGGGTTTGACGACTAATGAGTTTCTTATCGACGAGCGGAAGAGGAACGAGAGCCGCGCTGTTAATGCCACCTTTGTGCCTTATAGGATCAGGCAGAAAGCAGCAATCGCTTACAAGATGCTGTATGAAACCGTAAGTACAATATATACCTTAATTACCGTACTTGTAAAATTGTGCTGAAGATTGACGCTGTATATATAAATAAATATAAATACTGTAACTGCGGCTTCTCAATAATCCTGCTTTCAGTAATCGAAAATTTTCAGCTGGCTTGTGAAACTTAATAATCATATGATAAAAAATTATTTTAGGAATCTCCGATCTTAATTCATGCATCGTGTGTAACAAGGAAAACTGCATATATCACTTTAACTTTCACCCGCAATACCTTGCTATTTCTTCCCATTTACTTCTCATGGCCACGAAGTTTTCACCAGTAGCTGTCATTTCTTGCACCCTTCATGAATTAAATCACTTAAAATAATGCCAAACTTCCAACCAAAACGTTTTCCCTTCTGATTGGCTCATTGCTTATAGTTTATGACGGAGTAATATTTCCCCAAATAATTCCTAAAACTAGAGGGTGTAATCGTTTTGTTTTTTTTTTTGCCCAGGTAGCCACGCTTTTCGTCTCATCTCGCGAATTTTGACAATAATAGATATGCAGTGTTTTGAATGTGCTGTTGAAGGTGCAGTACTCTCGTTGTTCACGTGCCATGCGCTGAGTTGTGCACAGCAAAAGCGCAAATGGCCGATAATTTTCGTTTCTTCTCCGTTAATGTTAATCGCGTGAAATTCGAAGTGATTCCAAACTTTTCCCAACTCCTTCCGATTTGTCCCGCTTTCCTTCGATATAAATGTGACGATTATATGTTATACAGTAATGTATCTAAATCGCTTT